ATCTAGAATTGTTTCAAGTTTCACCATTTCCCTCCAAATTTCAAACACTTCATTCCTAATCCCACTCCTAATTTCCATTTCAAACACTAATCCACAATCCAAACCATTTTTTTGATTCCAAACCTAGAGCGTATTTAAGTGAATTTTCTCCAAACCTCAAGGGAATTACCTTCATTTTTGAATTCACACCAATTCACTCTCATTTTTCATCTCAATTTCAGAATTTGCTCTCAAATTCTCTCAACTTTTTCACTCTTAAAACCTCCATTAAAGCTCTTTCTACTTGAGTTCATTGATTCTACATTGGAACCCTTGAATTCTAGAGCTAAACCTCCTTCGTTCATCTCCATTATCTTCAATTCATCAATCAACTTTCATTTGGATTTGGATCAAATTTTGGAAGCAAGATTTGAAGTGCTTTTTGGATCAATTTTGGCTCGATCTTGCTTGTTCTTCACTTCTACTATAAGGAAGCTCTTGAACCTTGAAGATTCTCTGGGTTTCTAGCTTGGATTTGTTAGTTTCAAGTAAATCAACACTTACCAAAGCAAATCTCAGCTTTGAAGGTTGGAAATTCTAGATCCAATTCTTATTTTGAACTTATTTGAATAATCACAATGTAGATCCATGACTTTTGATCCATTTTGATGATTTTGATCTTAGTAATTTGTGATTTCAATGTTTGATTGTGTTTACATGATGTTTGATCACTGACTCTTGATGATACATTCTTGCTTAATTGATTACATGTTCATATGAATGATTAGATAAGTTGTTTGTTGTTGAAAACTGATTTTTGGCTTCTGTCTCAGTGGTAACCAGTTACCACTATCAGGTAACCGATTACCCTGCCTAATTTTCACGTTTCTGGACTTTTTTCAACAGGTAACCGGTTACCTGATTCTGGTAAACCGTTACCACTGGGACAGTTTGCCTTTTTTCAATAGGTAACCCGTTACGTGATTCTGGTAACCCGTTACCACTGGGACAAATTGCCTTTTTTTTGTTGCATTTCTTGCTTGTTTGAGTTCCTTTTTACATATAAACTTCATGGATTGATGTGATGCATTTATGTGGATTATTTTTGACATATTTCATCATTCTTGAATGTTTGAGTTGGATTCTTTGACACGTAACTTTCGGTTTCCGTTTGAATGCTTAACATGTTCGTGTTGCTTGATTGATGAATGATCACTTGCCTTTCTTACTTATATTATGTTAATTGATTATCATGAATGGTTGCTTTGTTGGATTTGTGATGCATGTTTGTGTTTGCTTCCGATTTTGTTTGTTGCATGTTCGTTTGATCGTTTGATCATTTGATTTGAATTGAAAAACATGATGATCTTGTTGATTCTTAATGATGCAATGTTGTTGATCAATTACGTTTGATTGTTGAAGCATGTTCATACTTGCATGATATCTATCCATGATTGGTGTTTGCTTATGTTTGATTGCATTAAATCATGCTTGCTTACTTGCTGTCCCGCTTTTCACAACTGTTCTTATTTTGAATTTGCATGTTTTCCTTGCCTTACTTGCTTGCTGCCTGCCTTTTTATACCCGCTTTTGTGCTGAAACATATGCTGTTATAGGATGTCTTGCTTGTATGCTAAATTTTATTGCTGTTTTGTGCAGGAGGCGCTGTTGTAGCTGCTGTTTTTACCTTGTTCCTTTGCTTTTTGCTTTGTCTTTGCATGCTCCCTTAGAATTCCTAGTCCAATTTAATTTTCGATTAAATTTGGAGTAGGATAGACATTAGGAGTTTAATCCATACATGATAACAAGTAGGTTAGTCCTTTTTAACCTCAACCTTAGGTCCATCTTTTGCATGCTAACATTAGGATAGAATCTTCTTTAGCATCTCGACCTTAGGACCACTTTGCATGATAACGTTAGGGCCAAGTTTCCTTTATACCTTCAGTGCGTCTCTCTTCTCATCTCAAAACACATTCTAACTCATCTAATAAATACGATGAACATTGTACGCTACGAGCCTTAAGCACATGGGAAATGATGAGTGATGGGTTTCTCCTCACTTGTCTAGAGTGTTTAGCGTATGCCCTTTGGGTGATATGCGACACATTCACTCCTATGTCATAGTCTTTAGTGCAACGTGAATCACAAAGCAATCTCAATTCACTTCACTAAAACCCACAAACAAAATTCAAACTTTTTTATCCTTGGGGATTTGTGTTTCAAACTCATTTTCAAAAAAGTGTACGTTACTTTTCCGTTCTACCGCAAACAAACATCAACCCTAACTGCTGGAATGGGAATTTAGCGTCACTCATAAAAAACAGTTAAACAACTTGTGGTTTCCTCTTTTCCCGAACTACGTTTGCTCTGATTTCTCATACTAGATGAGGATATGTAGGCACAAGACGACGATGTCTTGGCGAGCAACCTTCCCCCCATCACCCGTAGTTTTTCGAACTACGTTGACTCTGACTTTCCCATTGCACGAGGGAATACGTAGGCATAGGGTGGCGATGTCCTATCGAGTCTCTTTCTTTTTCTTTTGTTCTCGTTTCCGTTTAGCAGTAGCTTATAGATAAACACACTATTTAATTAGACAACAAGCGTGGATCCCATTGAGTACAACAGACGTGAGGGGTGCTAATACCTTTCCCTTGCGTAACCGACTCCCGAACCCAAGATTTGGTGGTGATGACCTTGTCTTTTCCCGTTCTTCAGGTTTTGTTCGATCGTTTCCTTTCCCTCTCTTTGGGATAAATAACTTTTGGTGGAGACTCTTCTGTTTTTTCGCCGGGTGTTTTTCGCAGTTGCGACAGAAAGGTAGTTCAAGCGAACAATCACAAAAAAGTAATATTTCTATATCACTTACCAAAAATGGGTTTTCTTTCTTTTTATGATTTTATGTCCACTAGCCAGTGGGTCTAAATTGAATCGTTTTGAACGCTTTCTCGACGCTGCATCGAGGGGAACAATACCACCAACATAATGAAACTCCTTATAAAAGGCCACTAATGATTCTTCAAGTATAATCGTTCTTAAGACAAGTCCTCATCCATGTAGACATATGATCCCGCCCTCGTCAAGTGACTATAACTTTAGTACTTATGGAATAATTTGTGCACATAGAAGGTGGACCGATATCTATTTGTAGATATTTGCATGAGCTTATTCGATAAAAAGGGTACCCAGCAAAAAGCAATCCTTGAAATTCTTCACGCTGTCAGAGTAACTCTCGAAGAATCCGATGTTCTACTAAAAAAAGCAAGCTTGATTCGTGCACATAACTTGGAACATTTTGAGTCTTCAAGAGATGGAAGAACATCATCATGATCGACTTAACCCCTTGTACTCACACCAATGTTAGAAAACCTTGACAAACGAATAACTCACCAAATGCAACTGTCAAGAGGCGATCATCAAATGGTTCATGACACTAACTTCAAGATCATTAAAAGGAAGATAAAAGCTAACGAGAAAGAATAAATATTCGTGAAAAGGGATAAAACACTCATCATATTGGCTTCATATACTTTTATCTCTATCTAAGGTATACGACCTCCAATAATATGAAGAACCCACATCAATTGAAGCCTGATCTAAAACCCAAACAAAAATGGTCCCTAATGTGTATTGATCCTCCCACTTGCCCAAGATACCCCTACTTGTCTTCTTAGTCGAAGTTGATATAATCTCCATGACTAATAATGCTACGAATATAGATAAGGTGTAGAAAAGGCCAACAACAGAAGAAATCTCTCAAAAAGAAAGGTGAAAGATAAAGTGTTTATTGAAACCCAAAAAAAGGGAGCAAAAGCAAAAGAAAACATTGAACTTTGGAGAAGGTGGATCAATCAAACATGCACGACAAGTACCAACGAGCGAGATCATACGAACTCGACCAAATACTAGAACTTGAAAGCTCGCGAATAAAAAAGACAAAAGAAGTAGAAAGAACTTTTTTGCAGGTTGCTAATGGTAGAAAAGGTCAAAATGACGCTCTAGAAACCGTTTATACATCACTCATCCACTGACCACACGATCTAATACGTACCACCAGCGAATGATATTCCCTAAAAAATTGTTTGAAAGCACTCAAGTTCTATAAGGAGGAGGAAACATCATCACTAACTAGCGCAGGGACATCGTTAGTCACTTCTAGCGAAACGTTATTCATTACAAAAAAATGAATTTAAAATACCTATTCCCAAGGATGACGACACCCCATCAAAAGCTTCCTCGTCCCCATATTCGGTGGCCTACTCGTCCCCATATTCGGTGGCCTATTTGGAACACACGTTACAAACCCTCGTCCTACAATGTAGAAATAAGAGTTTAGAGGACAATTTTTTAAACCGTCTATAAAGTCCAAAGATAAATGCCCAATACTATAACAGAGGAATGAAGCAAAAAACATACAAACTTTCTTTCCCGTTATGAACAATTTGTTATGTGTATGAAAACCCTATTGACCGTCCAAATTAATCTGACGTCTGACCGTAATCCACACCTCACTTCTCGCTTTCGGTTGCCAAAATGCAAGCTAAATGCCTTATCACATTTGTTATCAAAACCATAACTAAACTAATACCGTCTAAAACATGAATACTTCTAAAATGGTAAAGTACTGATACCCAATACACACCTGTACCAGATACTTATACCGTACCCGTGATACTTTATTTTTTCTCATTATTCAACTTTGAGTGAATTTTCTAATTTTCTCAAATATAATATAATATATTTATGTGTTTTAATTTCTTTGATATTACATTTTAATATTATTTTTTATTTTTTAAAATTTTTATAGTGATATTCTATTACTAACCTAACAATTTAATTTTATACTCATACAATTTATTTTTTAATTTTTATTAAAATACCATCTTAATTTTTTATAAAAAAAACTATTCCGTACCGGTATTCTATCGCGCAAAACATGCAACCGCGCAGCATATATAAATTGTTACCATAGGTCTTAGGGCTTCACTTCAGTACATTCTCACTCTCACTCTCTCTCTTTCATGGCCAATGTCGAGTCTACCCCCACAGAGACCCTAGAATTCAAATGGGGAAAAAAGCGATCAAAAGGTGGCAAAAAACGGGACACACAGTTTTACGAATCATTCACCTTAGACGGCGATGATTACTCTCTCTTCGACACCGTTTATCTTCAAAACGATGCGCACCCCGAACCTCACATTGGTAAAATCATCAAGATATGGGAAACTCCTACTCGTGAAAAGGCTAGGAAAGTTAAGGTTCACTGGTTCTTTCGTCCCCGCGAGATCGCCAAGTTTTTGATTGGGGTTCAGATTTATTACAATGAATTGTTCTTAGGTTCTGGTCATGGTACGGGTCTTTGCAATATCAATCCTCTGGTAATTCAATTCTTACTTTCAACTTTTTTTACTATTAGATAGGTGGTAGATTAATGCAATTTAATTGAATTCATGTCTGTGAATTTTATTATATAGTGAGGAGGTTAGTTGAAATTTTGTGAATTTTAGGGATTGTTGAAGTTTGTTGTTAGTGTTCCTAGGTAAGTAAATTTTATGTGGGCAAAATGAGTACCACTAGATATGTGTTAGATTTATGCAGTTTAGGGGATTTAGCGCGGCTCTGCAGCCAGAAGATTTGATTTTAAATAAATTGATTTTGTAAAATTGATTTTAGCTAAAAGTCAGATGAATGTAAAGTGATTTATGTTTGATTAAATTCATGTACAAGTGAGTTGAAAAGTAATATTTAAACTCAAAAACTACAAATTTTAGTATTTTAGTGTGTGTTTGGTTCTTCGGTGAAAAGAATTGATTCTAGGTTTAAGTGAGTTAAAAGTAAATTGATTTATGTTTGGATGAATTTATGTAGAAGTGAGTTGAACAGTAAATTTCATTGTAAAAAAAACACCTTTAACTCAAAAGCTACAAATTCTAGCTTCAAGTAGAATCAGTTTTGAAGGCAGATTCAATTTGACTTTAGAAAAACCAAACACCTCAAAATCATTCCAAAATGAATTCTACACCTCTAGAATTGCTTTTGGCTCTTCTAAAAGATTAAACCAAGTATACACACAGTGGAATTCATGTGGATGTTACTCAATTATATGGTGAGTGTTGGAAAGAGATTGTTAGAGTGTGTGGGTAGAACTCTTTGTTAGCCTGGTAAAAGCTGCTGCTTGTGTGGTTATGTTGATCTCTCTAGTCTCTAACCTGTGTGTTGCTTTTGTAACTAAAAATTTATTCTTTATTTTGAGTAAGTTATTCAATTTTGCTTGGTTTTGGTTGGCACAGAACATCAATTTGTAACCCTAATTGAATTGGGTTTTTTGTATGGTGTATCAGGAGTCTATTGCAGGGAAATGCAATCTTGTTTGCATTTCTAAGGACGCTAGGAATCCACAACCATCAGAGGAAGCAGTACAGAATGCTGACTTTGTGTTTTATCGCTACTTTGATGTTGGGAAGCGTAAAGTAGTGGAGGAGATAGATGACAAGATTCTTGGAGTTGAAGGTATGCAGGACTGATACGCTTATGTGTTTGAATATGTCGGACTTGTCAGCAGTCACTTCTTTTCTTTGATTTGTTGAAATCTTATGGTTTGTTTTTTCTCAAATTGTTGCAGTTAAAAACCTATTTAACAAAATGGCATAGTTGAAAAGCTTGTTGCTGCTGTAAAATATTATTTATACAAGAAAGGAGTTGGTGGTGGAATGCCATGAAAGTACTGAAGTTGCTTTTCTAAGTTATAAAAATTGCAGTAGTTAAATGGTAGCCAACGAATATTTGATATATTAGTTATAGAAAGGGGATATTAATTTACTTGGAGTAATAAATAACTATGTATAAAAAACCTACTTTGAAGAAAAAATCTTGGAGGTTCAATTATTTTTTGTATCGCCAAGGAAGTTTCTCAGGCGGATATATAAATTTGGTATATTGTGGTATTTAGTTATGAAATTTGGTGCCTTTGTAGTTTCACTGCCTGATGCGTTTAGTACTAAGTTCACTTACTATCATTGTCGCCATTATTTAAGTAAGATTGAGTTGTTTGGTGAACTCATAACTTTCTATATGTTACGTTTCTCTAGAACTGTTTTTTCTTAACTAATGTGGTCAAGCATTGTGCTGTTATCTATTTCTCTGGATATTGTTTCCCTGCCTAATAAATCACACGATATAACTGGACACGGCTTCTATGGAAATACAATATAGGCAACTGCATTATTTAGCCCTTAGCTTGATTCGGTGAGAACTAATCTTTCACTGTGTTATTTAATGACGTAGACACATTCCCCTTCATCCAAGGATTATGAGATTTTGATTTGCTTTCAAGCCTTCAAGGATAATAATGGCATAGTTATTTATATTGTATAGGTCAAACTTTGGTTATATTTAAAATAAAAGCAAGAGCTTAAAAATAGTTCATTAGCGAATAATTTGAGGACTTTTTATTTATGTTAGATTGATGATATACATGGCTTCAAATGCATGATGAGTTTTTGGATTTCTTTCAAGGACAATAATGGCATGATTATTTATGACGTAGGTCATGCTTTGGTTGTTTTTAAATGAAAGCAAGAAATGAAAATGTGTTATTAGCAAATAATTGAGGACTGTTTATTTATGTCAAATTGATGCTATTTCTATACTGTCATTTGGTTCCTGCTTGGTTAGAACTTATTAAATTATGGATAGCTTTGCTTGGGGCTCAAATATAGTGTGTTTTGCGTACCCAAATTCCCTGCACTCGTGTAGATCATGCAGCCTCACGGTCCTTTGGATGAAGATAACTTGGATTTAAACTCAACAAATCAGCCTTTAAATGCAACAAATTGGCTTTTAATTTATAATTTGCAATTTCAGGGCATCCATTTCCATTTTTTACAGCTCTGTTATTGTGTCATGGTTAGCAATTAGGAAATATCCTATATATGTATTGGGGGTCTGTTTTATTGTATTTCATTTTCTCCCGCATTCTTAGGAAGACATGTTATGCTGCACCCTCTTACCAAGTTTCAATACTTTCATGGTGATAGCTTTTGTGTATCAACTAAATTCAGATTGATGGTATATACTTTTTAGTTTCAAATGAATGATATGAGTTTTAGATCTGTGTCAAGGACACATGGCACGATTATTTATGATCTGTGCAGGTCAAGCTTTGAATATATTTATGGTAAACCTAGTGAAAGCTTGTAATTAGTATATAAATTGAGGATTGTTTATTTGTGTCAGATTGATTGTATTCGCAGAGCTTCAAATGCCGTGTAGAAGGAGATTCAAGCTTATTTTCAACAACTTGGTAGAAGGAGATTCAACAAATGATGAGTTTATCACACAAGAAAAAAAGAAAAAGAAAAATGAAGAATGTTTATTGTATATTCATTGAACTACTTAAGTTGAATTGGCGTATTTATTAGGAGTCCATGTAAGCGGATAGTAGTTTCTATGGGAATTTACACAAATCTTCCAATCAGGATTTGTTCTCAAGCTGGTGATGATGGCCATGAGAAGTTCCGACCTATTGGCTGTTAGAATTGTGATTGTTTGCTTCGGCTGAGGATGGTATGGCATGTAAACCATGACCATGTTTCTCACTCTTCCTTGCTTCATCTACATGCAAATCATCTTCAACTGATATAACTACTGCTTGTTGTCCAAAAGGACCAGGAACAACGGTTTCGTTGCCCTTTTTATGCTCATCGATACGAATGATATCCGAGGATGATTTGGCTTGCAAACCATGGCCGAGTTTCTCTTTCTTCCTTGTTTCATCTACATGCACATCATCTTCAACTGATATAGCTACTGCATTTTCCCCAAAAGGACCAGGAGTAATGGTTTCCTTACCCTTTTTATGCTCATCAATATCTATGATGTCGGTTTCTTGCGTCTTTCCATTCCTCTTCTTCAAGAAGCAGAATAGTGCAAAAGTAAGCAAAGAAAGAATGACAAGGCCTCCAGCACAGACAACCACAACTACTAGGACTATGGGTTGAGTTGAGGCCATCTTGTTGTTTTGATGTGTCAATCAATTGGTGATGTTATCAAAATGTTGGTTTTCTGTGTTGATGCTGTGGTTTAGGTGCACTTCTGAAATGTGTATTTATAAGAAATACTTGGTATAGAATTATGCAATCGTTTTAGTAACTTGACTCTCATGCAAAGTTTCAGAAGGGTTGTTTGTAGTGAAAAACACTACTCTTCATGCTTCCCTGGCTGATTTTGCTTGTTGATATTTTTTTTTATATTTAATTTATTTAATTTATTTTTTAATTTTTAAAAAGTTAATCGGACAAAATTTAGATACAATGGCTTAAATCCGGTTGGTACCATTTTCCAACAGATGAATAACACTTGTGCTCACGGTTTATTAGCATTTGGAACAATGTATAGTAAATGCCACGGTTTATTAGCAATTGGAAGAATGTATAGAAAATACAACGGAAAACTATTAATAATTATAACTTTTAATTAATAAAAACCAACTTACCTAACATAGGAAAATAGTTTCAACCGTGCAATGTGTATTCTTGTAAAGTGATTTAATATGTAAATGTTAGATCATTATCCATAAGCAACACATTTGAAATTCTGGTATGCAGATCTCATATGTTCCAAGAATATTGATCTCTGCTCAACAAGGACGAGGATATACCATGACCATTTTTAATTCCTTTAAGAATTAACAATGTCATGACCTCTGTTGTGACATCTGCAGACTGACAACACTATTTATCTAACCATTTAAATTGTGTCGAATTGTAAATGCTGAAAGATAAATAACACAATGAGAGAACCCAAGCACATGGAAACACATGTGCACAGAATAAAAGTTGATGATGTTAGCCATACAAATACAAGACAAAGCACTTGGATAGAGGCCCAAAACCCTGACTTGATCCATTGATACCCAATGACAGAACAAAACACTGTGAGGTTGACCATGAGCTAGAGCAGTAACACAATGTCACAACATCTGGTATGACATTCCACCCTCCTAGAGGCATACACTCACCAATTGCTTGAAACCACAAACAATCTTGAGAAATAACTGTACTATTGCAGCAACATATCCGAGATAGAAGTATACCTCTCCATATCAAGGATAACTGGTGCTCTATTTCCAGAAGCACGTGAATGGAAAACATAAGACTCATCTTCATGTCTTCAAGAGCTCACTCCTTGTTCAACACACCTGCTGAACGCATTCACTTACTGCTTGAACCACAACAACTAGTACACCCATCAGATAGAAGCTCTCCCCATATCTTCTATAAACGCTGCTCCAAGAAACACTCAAGATGCTCATACAGTGGGAAGGTACCAAACTGCTCCACTTCTTACTAGAGTTACTTGCAGCAAAAGAACCATTTCTCCATAAGAATTCTGACATCATCCTGAGTCAGAGAACAAGATAGACACCTCATAATCCAAGACATTCTTTCCTCATCATTCTCCCGTATGATAAGTTTAGAACACTTCTGATCCAACTAGTGACTATCATCTTCCATAATTTGAATTTCAAGTTCAGCAATCAAAATGATGTTCTAACATCAGTTAGGACATCCTAATCACAGACACCATTCATAATGGTTCTTGATACACTAACCACTTGGACTTACTATCTGAATAGTAATCCACTCATCAGAGAGCACAGTTCCACCAATGAGAACTCCAAAGAGCATAAAGACAGTAAACTTTGCATACCTCTCCACAAATAAGGTACTCATCTTTCATAGGCTCCAAGATATGCACAGAAGCAGAACCTCCTTTGGTCTTCAAATAGCTACCCTTCTGCACAAGAGTAGTTTTCTCCAAGCACACTACTAAAATAATCAAATGCCACCGTTTGATTACTCAGCATCTTTCAGAGCTCTAGAAGGTCTTCTGCCAAGCAACCTTGATCTTCAAGTTACATATTCTACTTGCTCCATAGCAAGGCATCTTGGAAACACCAAGGCTTGGACCTACAATATCTACTCCTTCTCACAACTCCTTGAAGTTTCTGCTTGATGTCACAACATCTGATCATACATCCTGCTGGAGAGTTTAGGCTTTCATGCTGCCACTTAGAATAACCTTCTCCATATAACAGAATAAGAGCTCCATGTTATTATAGACTTGAGTACACAACCTTCATTCTGTATTTCTGTACACACCTTAAGGAACTACTCTTTAGAGACCCCAACCATGCCAAGGCTAGATTCTTTAAAGAGGAAGGGTCATAAAAAAATCTTTACACAAGGATTCCCGCTTTCCTTAAGTAGAGACTTCTTCAGAAAGTCAGAGATAACTGCCACTTATCCTTGACCTCCAAGATGAGCAAGGTCACATGCACTTATATCAGAAATAAACTGACCCAAGCAGAGCTATCACCAACACCATCTTCTAGACATGTTTCTTGCCAGGAAACTTTCTAGATAAAGATCAAATGCTTCTAGTGGAAACTAGAACACACCTGTTGCAATACTCCTATATTAGAAATAAACAGATCTAGGAGAAATGTCTTCATCTTCCCTTCCATCAGCACTACATTCTAGCCTCAATTTCTTGCCAAGAACCTTACTAGAATGAAGACAGATCCAACTAAATCTCCTTTGAGCCAGTGATTTACTCCTTGAATCAACAGAATTCTGCACAGCCTCTGC